AGAATATTTTTTGAAAAGGCTTCCAGACGTGGCTTTATTATGGAATATTTTTTGAAGAGCCTTGGAGACGTGAATTTATTAAAGAATATTTTTTGAAGAGCCTCCGAGACGTGGATTTTTTTTTTTTTTGCTGCGGATTTGAAAATTTTTTACCATTTTTGTCCAGAATATCCATAAATTTAGACTAAACTGAAAAGAGAAGGAAAGGAACAGGGCAGAGAGAGAGAGAGGAAAAACAATGACCACAAAAGCCATTAACCAAAGAACGTGCGCTTTCATTAAGAGGGTCATAAAACCTCTAAAAACAGACAAAAGAATTTCTTCTGGCGATTTTAAGGGGAAAGGGAAAGAAGTACAAAAAAAAAAATCCAAAAACTTTGCCAAAGAAAATAACATTGGGTTGTTGTTGCCATTGCAGAGATTTGATCAAAAGATCAGTGTTGTACTTTTCTTTCTTTTTTTTTTTTTTGTTGTCCAACCATGGCATCCACAAGTACAACATGTTCAACAGGTTTGCGTGGCATACTTCTGAACGCCATGCAAGAAGCAAAAAAAAAAAAAAAACACAAACAAAAAAACCTTCAAACCAGAGAAACATTAAATGGCCGGACATGGGTTTACATTGGTTTTTAGGTCAGGCAAGCCTGACAAACCTTGAGAAGATGGCAGTTAGTTTTGAGGTCACAGAAAATGGGAAGGAAAAGCCATAAGTAGCCCAAGCGGCATGCTTCAAGGGGAAAGAGAAACAGTGTAGTGTAGTGCATATGTATCCCCAGGCCATGTGTAGAGAGTAAAAGTATGTGAATGGAAAAAAATTAATTTTTTTTTTTAATTTGCCTAAAGACCTCCATGGACCTCCCTCCCATATGTGACCACAGCTCAAGAACTCAATTAAAAAAAAAAAATAAATAAACGAATTTGCCAAAAGACCTTCCTCCCATATTTCCCATAGCTCAAGAACTCAATTTAAATATTTTAACATTTAACAAAAAAAATTCCATTGCAACCGAAAAAAAAAAAACTGTTTCGAAAATCTACATACCTGCCATAACAATATATATCTCTTGTAATTTTTTTCTTCTTACCTTACATTTTGAATGCCAAAGTTAAATGAAAACCAGTGGTCATTTAACAAACCAACGGAGACACACACATATACACACACGTCAAGCATATGGCCAGCAAAGAATTCCAGTTAACAAGACATTCTATTCCGATATCGAAACGAGAATGGAAAACAAAAACATATTTTTATCGACAGACAGCCGAACAGCAGCCAAACACTTGCAACAAAACATTTTTCAAGTATTCAACAACAACAGCGGCGATAACAACAAAATGAACCCTCGAACAACAATTCGAACAATGAATTGCAGTTTTGTAATTGTTTTCAGAATTCCATTAAAATTTTAAAACAGTAAATTTAAGAATATCATGAATATGTAATCTTACAAAAAAACTCCAGGTTTGGAAAGGTAGGAGATTTTCTCCTACAAAAAAAAAATCTCCCGAAAATGTCCTAAAAATTGGAGTGAATGAGAATTTGTTTCAGGTCTTCAGAAAAAATGACTTAATACACCCGAAAACTTCTTTCAAAATTATAACGAATGAGCATGCTTTTCAAACCAACAGGTACTCAGTTATATGCCTACTTATTGGGCCATATCTTCCGATGGTGATTGAATATCTCGATTATAAAGGCACTTTTAAATGTGGTAGGACCTCTTCCTTCTACCATTTAAAATTTATGCGTATATCTACCACATTTTCCAAGTTATGGCCAAATGAACACATGCGCAAAAACTACCCAATTTTTTTACCTTTTTGGGTAATCTTATTCTAGAACCTATAACTTCCACAATACTCCATATATTTGAATAAAGAAAATCATTTTTAAAACAGGTACAATCAGAGGTATAACAGAGCTCAGGGTCGGAAAACTTGTTTCAAAAACTGTTGCGAAAAGTTGCAAAAGTTTCGAATAAATAGCAAGGTTTTCCATGACCACAGGTTTCCGGTGTTAGTCACAATCATGGAGTCATATATATTTTCCGATGGTGATTGACTATCTCTATTATAAAGGCACTTTTAAATGTGGTAGGGCCTTTTTATTCTACAAATAAAAATTTATACACGGAGCTACCATATTTTCAAAGTTATGGCCAAATGACCATGTGCGCAAAAATTACCGAATTTTTTTACCTTTTTGGGTAATCTTATTCTAGAATCCATAACATCCACAATACTCCATATATTTGAATAAAGAAAATCATTTTTAAAGCAGGTACAATCAGAAGTATAACAGAGCGCAGGGTCGGAAAAATTGTTTCAAAAACTGCTTTGAAAATTGTAAAAATTTCAAATAAATAGCAAGGTTTTCCATGACCACAGGTTTCCGGTGTTAGTCACAATCATGGAGTCATATCTTCTGTAACTGAATAAGTATCGCCATAAAAATGCAGATATATGTCGGACATATTCTTCTTCTCATAGTGGCAAAGAGAGATGAATTCAGCGTTCGAAATATTAGAGATATGACTAAGTGAACACGATTGCCAGAAAGCTCCAAAAATTTGGGCATTTTGCGTTATCACCCTCGAATACCCATAACTTCTAAACCTGACAAGATATCTTAGTAAAATTCACCGATTTGGAATGTATGGAGCCTCATTCTACAATAAACAGACAATAATAACTTATTTCCCACGAAAACTTCTTCGAAAATTAACAAAAAATAATCGTTATTTTCAAGTCCACAGGCGTAGACGAAGGACTCCACTAATGATGTCATATCTTCGGACTCCGACTGTTTATTGTTATGATTCGTAAAATTTTTAGAGCTGTAGAGCCTTTTTGTTATACCATTACAAAATTATGCCTAAAGTTGCAATATTACCCGAGTTATGGGAAAATTAAAATATATACAAAAATCGGACTTATTTTTGGCCTTTTTGAGTAATCACGTTCCAGAGCCCATAACTTTCGAAGTGGTCTACATATCTTTATGAAACGTTATGTGTTTGAAAGCTAAGGTATTCGGGCTTGTAAAAATTTATAAGAGTTGAGATAATATTACGAAGAACTTGTTCAAAAACTCCAAAAATTTGGAATAAACGATAGTGTATTTGAAGATCCTAGCTAACCTGGCATATCTGTGGAATCCGAAGTGGTACTGCCATTATACGACCAATTTCGGAAAGAGGAGAGGTTCTTATATTAACTGATATAATATTTCTGTATAGACTTTCATATAAACCAGAGATGTGGCTGAAAGAGGGCATGTGTAAAAAATGAGTAAATATTTTATGTGTGTTGGGTAATCACTTTCTATAGGCCATAACTTCTAAAGTACTTGATATATCTTAACAAATAAGGTAAATTTTAAATAAGAAACGGTTCATTTTACAAATCTGTTAAATAATCACATATTGTAGTCGAAAAATTCCACCAAAATTCAAAAAAAAAAAAAAAAAAAAGTTAACATCATTAACATCGTATTTTTTATAGGTCAGTCTTGCACTGATGTTCGCATGCATGGAGTCATATCTTTAAATCCCAAACGTGTATAGCCATGAGGAGACTAGTTTTGCAAGGAGGAGAGATTACTCTACTAACCGCTAAATAAAGTTGCCTATAGCTTTTGTGTTTCTCGAGATATGACTCACTAAAGACATACGCAAAAATCTAAAAAAATTTCATCTGTTTTGGGTAATCATCTTCTGATGGCCATAATTTCGGAAGTAGTTGATATATTTACAAAAATTATATCAATTTTGAAAGCGGAAGCCATATTTTATACATTTTCTGTCAAATATTAAAGGGATGTAGTTCGAGATTTATTCGAAAATTTAAGAAAATTACTATTAATTGATTGTATTTTTCAAATCCCTGGTTGTACTTTAGCGATTGCTTTCATGGAGCTATATCTTTTTATCCGGTAGTTGTATAGCCACATAGAAACCAGTTTTGGGAAGAGAGGAGACTGATCTAAAAACCAGTAAATTAAATTTCCTATAACTTTTAAAATACCAGAGATATGCCTCAGTCAACACATGCGCAAAAATGTATAACAATTTTATCTGTTTTGGGTAACCATCTTCTGGTGGCCATAACTTCTAATATAATTCATATATCTGCAAAAAATAAAGTAGCTTTTAAAGACGGCACCATATGCCTTACAACGATGTTAAATATTAACATAGTTTAGTTTAAAAAATTCTCAAAATTTTAAACAAGTTTTTGACAAATTAACGTACTTTTCCACACCAGAGACCTATAGTGATTGTTGCATTCATGGTATCATATCTCTTTACCCTGTGGGTTTATCGTCCAAGTTGGACCTGATTTGGAAAGAGTAGACGATTCTCTATTTACCAATAACTTTATTTGTCTATAACTGTTAAAATACCAGAGTTATGCCTTATTGGAGACATGCGCAAAAATTTGTCGGTTTTCAGTAACCATCTTTTGGAGGCCATAACTTTTGATTTACTTCATATATTTGCAAAAATTAAAGTAGCTTTTAAAGAAGGCGCCATGCGTTTTACAAACATGTTAAATACTGACATAGTTTAGTTTAAAAAATTCTCAAAATTTTAAAAAAGTTTTTGACAAATTAACGTACTTTTCCCCTCCACAGACTTATTGTGATAGTCGCATTCGTGGTATCATATCTCTTTACCCTGTGGTTTTATCGTCCTAATTGGACCTGATTTGGAAAGAGGAGAGTCTCCCCTATTAACCAGTGAATATATTTTTCTATAACTGCTAAAATACCAGAGTTGTGCCTCATTGGAGACTTGCGCAAAAATTTGTACAAATTTTTTCCGTTTTCAGTAATCATCCTTTGGAGGCCATAACTTCTGAAATATCATAGATATTTTGATAAAATAAATTTATTTTGAATGCATGGATAATAGTTTTTCTAAATTTCTTAATTTCCTTAATTAAAATAAATAAACTTTAATTAATTTGAAATATTTTTTTGTCTTTTTTTTCAGATTGCACAAAAGGATATTATTTAACTAGGTTTGTATTTGGATTTTTATATTAAATTTTGAAGGAGGGATTTACGAGATCTTTTGGTATATTAAATGTTATATCAAGAAAATCATGTCAAAAAAAAAAAAAAGTCACAATTGTTTTTGTTTTTCCTTTGACAATTTTCCTCTTCCATAGACATAAGCATATCCAAAGAACTCTTCTGCTGCTGCTGCTTTGACTCAGAAGAAAACTATTCATGTCACGCTGGCAATTAAATCAACCTCATCATTGTCAGCTATTGTATTAGCTATGAAATGCAGCGCTATCTGCGAAGCAAAAAAAAAATAGAAAATTAACAGAAAAAATGGAAAATCTTCAAGTAGCACGCTATGCTAATAATATGTTTCAACTTCATCAACATCAGTTAGACAATTGCATGAGCGAATTGCTCTGGCCTCCAACCAGCAATTGTTGGAGCATTTCAGATATTTTTCTCCATCTTCTCTTGTTTTTTTTTTTTGTTCTCAACTATTTTCCATCACGACTCAATTAGAGGGAAATATGCAAAAATTTTCTTCGGTTTTCTGTGGCAAAATGGGAAAAAATTCTTAAGAAAATTTCACAAAAATTCTGTCATTAATTTTCGTAATTGTCTGTAATTTTTGTGGGATTAATGTGGGTATTATCATTTGGAGGTTGAGCAGGAGGGAAGAAGGAGCTAGGTCATCTGAGTTGTATTTTTTCCAAAGTAGGCCCTACTGAAAAAATCTCTTCTCTGTAAAAGGAAACCCTCTGAAAGGCTTTAGAATTCTATTCTTTCTGTCAATAGCAGGCCACGTGAAGGAAGGCCTTTACCATTTTCAAAAATTAAGTTTTAAATTTTAAAACGGGATAAACTTCCCATTAAATAAAATTTGTCTAACCTTTCCCAGTTTAAAATCCCATTCTAAAGACCTCCATTAATTCTGTCATAAAAATTAACATTTCTCTTTAAAAAGTCTTTTGAAGCTTGTTTTTTTTCAAGTCTCGAAATTTTTTATTACTTAAAACGACATTAAATTTGATGAATTCATTTGATGAGTTTCTCTCCATTTACTTCTTTCCCATTTTATGGCACGTTTTTAGGCACAGCTATTTCAAGTTTCTTTTGGCGGATTTTTATTTTTTTTTTCAACCAAAACTTACCCCCTATTGTTCTTTCCAGTTGTGGACTTTCGAATAGTTGGGCTTTCAAGGTCTTCGAGTGTCATGAAATGGAAAAAAGAACAACAATGCCACAAATTTAAATGGCAGATGTCTTCATTTTTCAAATACGCAATAAAATTCAATAGATTTAAGGAGCTCAAGAAACAAAGAAAACAAAAACAACAAAGTGACACATTAAAAAAAAAATAAATAAAATATTTAAACAGCTGGAAAGCTTAGGTACATGGCGAGAGAAGGGGTTGGTTTGACAGATAATTTCAACACATTGGGGAAATTTTGAAAATATTAAACAGATATTTTAAAAATTTTATACGGAAAAAACCCCATCCTCGTAGTCTGTAAATTTTTTCTATAGGAAAAAATACCATCCATGGGGTCCGCGATTTTTTTCTATACCTTCTAATCCTTCCCTTGGGTCGCCGAATTTTTTTCTATAGAAAAAAACCCCATATCTGGGGTCGGCGAATTTTTTTCTATAGAAAAAAACCCCATATCTGGGGTCGGCGAATTTTTTCTATAGAAAAAAACCCCATATCTGGGGTCGGCGAATTTTTTTCTATAGAAAAAAACCCCATATCTGGGGTCGGCGAATTTTTTTCTATAGAAAAAAACCCCATATCTGGGGTCGGCGAATTTTTTTCTATAGAAAAAAACCCCATATCTGGGGTCGGCGAATTTTTTTCTATAGAAAAAAACCCCATATCTGGGGTCGGCGAATTTTTTTCTATAGAAAAAACCCCATATCTGGGGTCGGCGAATTTTTTTCTATAGAAAAAAACCCCATATCTGGGGTCGGCGAATTTTTTTCTATAGAAAAAAACCCCATATCTGGGGTCGGCGAATTTTTTTCTATAGAAAAAAACCCCATATCTGGGGTCGGCGAATTTTTTTCTATAGAAAAAAACCCCATATCTGGGGTCGGCGAATTTTTTTCTATAGAAAAAAACCCCATATCTGGGGTCGGCGAATTTTTTCTATAGAAAAAAACCCCATATCTGGGGTCGGCGAATTTTTTCTATAGAAAAAAACCCCATATCTGGGGTCGGCGAATTTTTTCTATAGAAAAAAACCCCATATCTGGGGTCGGCGAATTTTTTCTATAGAAAAAAACCCCATATCTGGGGTCGGCGAATTTTTTCTATAGAAAAAAAACCCCATAACTGGGGTCGGCGATTTTTTTCTATAGAAAAAAAAACCCCATATCTGGGGTCGGCGATTTTTTTCTATAGAAAAAAAAACCCCATATCTGGGGTCGGCGATTTTTTTCTATAGAAAAAAAACCCCATATCTGGGGTCGGCGATTTTTTTCTATAGAAAAAAACCCCCATATCTGGGGTCGGCGATTTTTTTCTATAGAAAAAAAAACCCCATATCTGGGGTCGGCGATTTTTTTCTATAGAAAAAAAACCCCATATCTGGGGTCGGCGATTTTTTTCTATAGAAAAAACCCCATATCTGGGGTCGGCGATTTTTTTCTATAGAAAAAAACCCCATATCTGGGGTCGGCGATTTTTTTTCTATAGAAAAAAAACCCCATATCTGGGATCGGCGATTTTTTTCTATAGAAAAAAAACCCCATATCTGGGATCGGCGATTTTTTTCTATAGAAAAAAACCCCATATCTGGGGTCGGCGATTTTTTTCTATAGAAAAAAAAACCCCATATCTGGGGTCGGCGATTTTTTTCTATAGAAAAAAAAAACCCCATATCTGGGGTCGGCGATTTTTTTCTATAGAAAAAAAAAACCCCATATCTGGGGTCGGCGATTTTTTTCTATAGAAAAAAAAAACCCCATATCTGGGGTCGGCGATTTTTTTCTATAGAAAAAAAAAACCCCATATCTGGGGTCGGCGATTTTTTTCTATAGAAAAAAAAACCCCATATCTGGGGTCGGCGATTTTTTTCTATAGAAAAAAAAAACCCCATATCTGGGGTCGGCGATTTTTTTCTATAGAAAAAAAAAACCCATATCTGGGGTCGGCGATTTTTTCTATAGAAAAAAACCCCATATCTGGGGTCGGCGATTTTTTCTATAGAAAAAAACCCCATATCTGGGGTCGGCGATTTTTTTCTATAGAAAAAACCCCATATCTGGGGTCGGGCGAATTTTTTTCTATACGGAAAATCATTGCCTCCCTGGGGTCGGGCGAATTTTTTTCTATACGGAAAATCATTGCCTCCCTGGGGTCGGGCGAATTTTTTCTATACGGAAAATCATTGCCTCCCTGGGGTCGGCGAATTTTTTTCTATACGGAAAATCATTGCCTCCCTGGGGTCGGGCGAATTTTTTTCTATACGGAAAATCATTGCCTCCCTGGGGTCGGGCGAATTTTTTTCTATACGGAAAATCATTGCCTCCCTGGGGTCGGGCGAATTTTTTTCTATACGGAAAATCATTGCCTCCCTGGGGTCGGGCGAATTTTTTTCTATACGGAAAATCATTGCCTCCCTGGGGTCGGGCGAATTTTTTTCTATAACGGAAAATCATTGCCTCCCTGGGGTCGGGCGAATTTTTTTCTATACGGAAAATCATTGCCTCCCTGGGGTCGGGCGAATTTTTTTCTATACGGAAAATCATTGCCTCCCTGGGGTCGGGCGAATTTTTTTCTATACGGAAAATCATTGCCTCCCTGGGGTCGGGCGAATTTTTTTCTATACGGAAAATCATTGCCTCCCTGGGGTCGGGCGAATTTTTTTCTATACGGAAAATCATTGCCTCCCTGGGGTCGGGCGAATTTTTTTCTATACGAAAAACATTCCTCCCTGGGGTCGGCGAATTTTTTTCTATACGAAAAACATTCCTCCCTGGGGTCGGCGAATTTTTTTCTATACGAAAAACATTCCTCCCTGGGGTCGGCGAATTTTTTTCTATACGAAAAACATTCCTCCCTGGGGTCGGCGAATTTTTTTCTATACGAAAAACATTCCTCCCTGGGGTCGGCGAATTTTTTCTATACGAAAAACATTCCTCCCTGGGGTCGGCGAATTTTTTTCTATACGAAAAACATTCCTCCCTGTGGGTCGGCGAATTTTTTCTATACGAAAAACATTCCTCCCTGGGGTCGGCGAATTTTTTTCTATACGAAAAACATTCCTCCCTGGGGTCGGCGAATTTTTTTCTATACGAAAAACATTCCTCCCTGGGGTCGGCGAATTTTTTTCTATACGAAAAACATTCCTCCCTGGGGTCGGCGAATTTTTTTCTATACGAAAAACATTCCTCCCTGGGGTCGAATGAAAAATACTTCCTGCGGTCGCCGAATTTTTTTCTATACGAAAAAAAATAGCTTCCTGCGGTCGCCGAATTTTTTTCTATACGGAAAAAAATAGCTTCCTGCGGTCGCCGAATTTTTTTCTATACGGAAAAAAATAGCTTCCTGCGGTCGCCGAATTTTTTTCTATACGGAAAAAAATAGCTTCCTGCGGTCGCCGAATTTTTTTCTATACGGAAAAAAATAGCTTCCTGCGGTCGCCGAATTTTTTTCTATACGGAAAACATTTTTTCTATACGGAAAAAAATAGCTTCCTGTGGTTGCCGAATTTTTTTCTATACGGAAAAAAATAGCTTCCTGCGGTTGCCGAATTTTTTTCTATACGGAAAAAAAATAGCTTCCTGCGGTCGCCGAATTTTTTTCTATACGGAAAAAAATAGCTTCCTGCGGTCGCCGAATTTTTTTCTATACGGAAAAAAATAGCTTCCTGCGGTCGGCGAATTTTTTTCTATACGGAAAAAAATAGCTTCCTGCGGTCGGCGAATTTTTTTCTATACGGAAAAAAATAGCTTCCTGCGGTCGGCGAATTTTTTTCTATACGGAAAAAAATAGCTTCCTGCGGTCGGC